GTGAAATCTGGCTCGCTGCCTTGTTGAACGCAGCCTGCCTGCTGGGAGAATGAGCAGTTTTTATGACATGTGTACTCCTTCCCCATATGCTCCCCCGGTGCGTCTGCATTAGTGTTTAAGTACATGGGGGAAAGCAACTGCCTCATAACAAAAAAGAGCTCAGTTTGCACCAATTCTACCCAAAGGACACAAACAGACTAGACCCACTGCAGTGCTGTAGTGGCAGGCAGCATCGCCCAGCTCTTATATGGGAAACAAAGACTGTAACTGAGGTCCTAAGAAATGCACTGCTTTTAACTATTTTAAAGCTTTAAAAACATTTTAAAAATCTTTATGGATTCAGCTGAAGCATGTTAATGACTGATGGTAAGAAAAGATGGATTATTCATGAATGTCACCTCAGGATCTTCCAAATTTTTGATTGAGGTAGGCTGGCATAAAGCTATGGGTTACTTGCTCCTCTTACTCCCTGATTTGAGAACAGTCCCAAGGTATAAAGAAAAATGGATCCAGCCTCTCTCAGTTGCTTCAGCTAAGGTGATGTTTAGGAAAATACTTTGAGAAGTCAGGTAGCTACAGGGTGAAGAAGTTACATAATAATCAACGTTGATGGATGGTGATCCAAGAGCATAAGAATGGATCTTAACATCGCTCTCCCAAACAAGGCTAGATACATAGTAATTTTTAAACACACTTATTTAAATACAGAGCTTGAAGTAGCAGATTCAGAAATGGTTATGGGGAAAAAACAAAACAAATGCCATTTTTTAAATAATTGAATTTCTTTTCAAATAGGTCACGCTTGGGTATATTAGCACCTGATATGTCATCACAAAGGTGCAAATAACAGAGATGGGATATTGAGGCTAATAAGCTCCAATTCTTCCGTATAAAGACAGCCTATTGAGACAGAAATCAGGATGAAGACACTGTCACTTCTTCACAGACTACAAAAATACCACTTTGATACCTGGTGCTTAGCTTCACAGGTCTGTACTTGTGATTAGGAAATGCAGATGAAGGGTATGATTTTAAGTATATGATACAGAGGGATAGGCAAAGAGCAGCCTAGCAGCCTTGAACGATTTGTTAACCCAAAGGGAAAAGAAAGAGACGGGAAAAAAAATAAAAAGAGATATTCACATTTTTGAAGAAGTATCACTGGAAAAGATAGCCAACTAAGCATAAACCTAGGAGACTGCTTTTAGGCACAGTTCAAACGAGATGTCTAAGGCAACAGATTGAAGAAGGCTGAGCAAACCTCTGGCTATCAACACCTACATCCACCATCCCACTCTGGCAACACAAGCTGTAGGTGAGACTGAGGTTAGCTCTCCCAGTCCCTTTGCCCTTTTTGTTAAGGCAGAGACTCTGCAGATGTTAGAACAAAGAAATTCAATTAGTGATTAAGAATTCTTGAGATGACTCTGCATCTACCTGCTGCTGCCGATGACCAAAATGTACAGCTATAAGGACGTTCAGATCCATTTGGGACAGCCATAGAGTCACAACAGTTATTATCTCAAGAAACCTCAGTGCCATATATATAATAGCAACCCAGAAAAACCTCACTTTTTTTCCTATGTCCAAAATTTAGTAGGTGATAAAGCTGACTGAAACAGGTCGAGGTTGAAATTAATATTCTCACCCTAGCTTCGAAATCACATTGTTAAACTTTCCATCTCTGAAGACTAACACTCAATAGTAACAGCTGGCAACATCTCAACTTATCTGGGAACTGATCTTATCCACAAGAGGGTCTGACAAATTCTGCAGTCCTACTGCAGGGGCGAGGGTCTCGAGGAAGTTCCAGTCTGAATTTAACGCAACAGAACTATGGAAAATTGATCTGCTCCTTGGTAGAAGTGAGGCAGCTTGCACTGAAAAACAATATTCCCTGACTGCCAAACTTAAGCCACAATAATTAATTTCTACTATTGTAAAACAACCACACACACACAAAAAAAAAAGCTACTTGTTTGAAAGAATTTTCCCGTAGACAGAATTCCCAGGCTCCCTATCCCAAGCCTCAAGCAGATGATCCTTTGGTCTTGATCAAAGTGAAGGAGTCCAACAGGCTAGACTAAGAGCTTTAAACTCTAGAATACTGATGTGGAGCTTTCATCTAACCGCTTAAAAAAATGAGAGCGCATAGTAACTGTACCAGCCCACCACCTAGAAATATCACAGAAAATGGTAATGGATCTGAAAGAATTTCCTGATGAACATGTGCTACCTTCAGTTTTTGCATGTTGAATAACCTGACACATAAATGGCTTAGAAATAAGCATTGTCAAGGAGGTATGCTTTATTTGTTAAAAAATCTGGCAGAAACTACACTGGTAACTTGGAAAGAGGTATCTCCTTACAGTGGAAAAAAAGTAACCTGCTTCGGATCAAAAAACAAGTGTCTAACTTGAAAGCAAAGTCATAAAGCAGGCTTTCAAAAGGACTGTTGGTTTTAAAAAAACCAAACCACTCATGTTATCATACAAGCAGCACTGGATTTAATCCCACAGACAGAAAATAAACACAATGTCAACATCACATTTTCAAGTCCTGAATGAAATAACATACACAACAACATTTCCAGGTGTCTACTATCCTTAAACTCCAATGAGAATCACCAAATATACAGACTCAAATACATTTTCTATGGGCATTTTTACTTCTCAAGTACTTAACTAAATATAAAAACAAAGGAAAATATTTCTGGAGTACCTCACCGAAACAGACCACCTGCTATGACCAAATTGAGGATCAAAGTACAAATCTTTACATCACTGCAACATACCTTGGTGAATATTTTATCAGAAATTCTAAAAACATCAGAGATCTTGTCCCTGTAGTAACAGTGTTCTTGGTATATGTCCTGGCAGTGTGCAAATGTATTTTAAATTTTGCACGTAAACTTAGTGGGATGCCACTACGAGTAAGTTATACATAAACAAACAAGCTTTCAGATCCAGCATTCAAGCACAGGTAGACAACAGTAGACTAAACTACAGGACTGTTCTTTACGGCCCATCCTCAGAGATCAGCTACTGCCATGGGCAATGGTTAGAAATCTTAATTACTTCAACAGCTGATAACTGGCATGGCACCAAATGAGACTGTTCACTGGTATTAAGAACACGAAACACCGGAGCCATCACAACCTTCCAAGGATTCAGACTGTCAGACTGGAGGTTTATCTTAACATTTCAGAATGTCTTGTTATGAAAATCCAGCTATAGCTAGGCAGTTTCAGAAACCAAAGCCATTCAGGTCCTCCTCAGAAATTGAGCCTGGAAAGCAGTAATTAGACAGTTTTCATTGATATTCACAAAAGGAATAATGCGATTTAGCTAACTTGCTAAACTTGTTGCTTTCATGAGCAAACCACATACAGGAATAATTTCTGAAGCTGTTTGCACACAACTTCAGATGGGCCAACAGGACAGTATCCTTACACCTTTGTGCTATTAAAAAAAGAGAAAAAATGGTGCTAGATTCTCGGCCAGTCTAGGTAGTTGGGGATCTGCAAGCTATTTATGTTAAACAGTCTCATCACATGTGATTCTTCTGGACCTGTATCATCAAAACTGGTCTGATACGTGCACATTCAATCTCAGAAGATCAAAGGTGCTGGATATGTGATATGAAACTCAACCAATTGTGACAACTCAGGTAATATTGGAATAAAGAGTAACATTCATTATGAAATTCTAATTTAGAGACTGCGCTGATACAATTGACTTGGTCAACCCAGGAAACAACTATTCCTGATGTAGGGCACTAAACCACTTGAAGATTTACAAGGTGCCAGAATGAATTATGTTTCATTTTAGGTGCTGAGCTTTGTTGACTCATTTGATTAATTAAGCAGGATATAAAATTCTGTTATGAAAACTAATTTTATAGCTGTTTATACTGTGCCTCAGGCACTTTCAAACAAATGGCTTATAGTAAGTTAGGCTAAACACACAACATGAGACACAGCTGACGAGACTCATATAGGTATTCATATACAAGACACCTGGTGAGAGCATCCAACCTTGGCATGAAATGCAGAAAACATCCATATCTTTAAATAAACCACACTAATTAAATGTGGTTTACTAAGGTTACTGGATTCATCTGGAATCATGGGCAGTTTTGGTAACAGCAAACAAGTTCACACCTCACCAGCCTTGCCACCTTGTTGGTAAGTGCCGAAGGCTCAGTATCAAATAAGGTCTTCCTAGAGACCTCAGCATTGGGCACAGTCTCCTAACATGCAAAGGTTTTAGGCTAACAAATCCAGAACTAAATCTTGACTTGCATATTCTTGATATTTTTTGTTACGACACTTGAAAGCACTCAGGCATAAAGCAAATAATTTATTCTGTGCTCTTCTGACTAAGAAACTAGCTAATTATAGTCAATAATGTCTGATGAGGACAAGGGAAAAAACAACAACAACAAACGCTAAAAGGATATCAAGTACAATTATGTTCCTGCACTTTTGGTAGTTAGGGTGGCTAACTCTTCCTTTTATAGAGTAGTGTTGTCCAAAATAGAGGAAGGCAGAAAAGGAAGTGAACTTTCACATGTAGTACATTACAGGGTAGTAATATGGATACTATTAAAAATTTAAAATTTCTTTCCCAATTAAAGGAAAACTTTCTCAATTGAAGTGGAAGAACGTGCAGTGGAAAAACATGCACTAGGAGATTATGTTCATTACTTGGAACTTCATCAATCCAAGAGGTCTACCACAGACACTAACTGTCACGGCACACGAACACACACAAGACAATTTACTCATTAAATAAGTTGTATGTTACAGAATCTGAACTGATTGTGTCTATGCACTTGTATTTTCACATAGCTCCAGGTTTTAAGAAAAAAGAGAGAAAAAAAAAAAACCAGCTCAACTTCCCAGCTAGGACTTCTGGCTGGGACCTTAACATTGAATAATGACCTTCATAGACTTCAGTTATATTTCCTTTTTAAATAAAAGTTTAAAAGATACATACACTTTTGTTTCATAGTCCTTCCAAGCTTTATCAAAGGGTTTTTTCAGGTCCTGTCAAGAAAAAAAATACAGTTAGTCATTTACGTGAAAAATACTGTGGATCTAATGATGAAGACACACGTTGGCCATTTGCAGCAACTACTAGAATACGGGACTCCTCTCTTTCTTGAATAGTTCACCTAAGGATTGTGTAAAAGCAATCTTGCACGTAGGAAAAACAATCTTGTACACAGAATTAATGCACTCATGTTTTTAAAAGCATCTCTAGGAGGCTTTTTACAGCTCCATTTTACTCCTTAAAAGGTATAACCACGTGTTACCCCAAAGGTACACCGTGAAATTAATCAAATCAGCAATTTTCTCATCATTCCATCTCTGGCTCCACTGGAAAGAAGCGCCTATCTAAGGCTGTAGTATTACCTTAGCTAAAGACTTGATTCATCCCACTAAAGTTAAAGAACAATTTCCTACTGACTTAATGGGAACAGTATAGATCATACAGCTTGACATAACTAATTCTGTAAGAATTTTTAATTACTTATGTTCCAAATTCCTTTATTTTTTCCCCTCTGAAGAAGACAATTTGGATAAAATGATCTTAACACATTGCAAAATTATTTCACTGATGTCTAAAAATGCAGCAGTTGAAATTCTGCTGGAGTTCAAGAGATCAGCCAACTACAAAAAATTACTGTAAACTGGCAGACACTGGAAAAACTTTGGAACTACAGACTAGGAACTAATTCCTACATGTCAGCTAGTTATTTCAACAATCATGAAATTAATTAAAGCAGCATTTGATTATTTTCTTAAGACAGGAGCATGGGGCAACATTGAATTGTATCAAATGTATTTATTCTGACATAGAAAAAGATAAGAACGAAAAGAGTGAAATGTAATAAGCAAGCCGCACAAACATAACAAGCCTATCTTACTAAATAATCTCTTCATCCTCCAGTAATATACAGGGACCATTTTTAGTATATGTACATTTTTTCTTCTTCCTTCAGTGTCCTAGAACAATAGCTGCCAGTTGCTTCCTGTTTGCTCAGTAGTAAACGAAGTGTAAGCCAAATATGTTTGCTGGCTATAGGCTTTAAAATTTATTATAAACGTATCATTATTTGAGTCCTAAGTTGTTATTATTTCAAATAGGAAATATCCTCAGGGCACAAATAGATTTCAGCTTTGTTAAGAAAAATCCTATGTTTATGCAGTCTAATGCATCTTTCTTAAAAATGTATATAGTTCCAGGTAAATTGAGAATGCTAGATAAATATATTAATAATAAACCTTTTATTTAAAGTACTACTCACTCCCTCAACTAAGTAAATATCTTTAAATTAATAATTCTTTCACCTCTTTCTCTGCTTAGCTTCTGTAGCTCAGGGCTGCTTTTAAAGCTTCTCAAATGTTGTTTTGTATACGAAGTCAAGAGCATGTTGTATGTGAAACCACAGAGGGATAATTCAGTTCATAAAAAAAATATTTCTCTTGTTTATTAAGCTAGTAAGTTAATTTAGTATCCCACACCTTCCATCAAATAAGATTAATACACTAGCTAAATGTATTTATTGTACCAACAATAATTTTATATATAAGTAAGAAGAAAAACGTACCCCTTTTACTCCTTTCAGATCTCCCTTCAGCAAACTGTCCAATGGAAAAGTGATTATGTTGTTCATATTCTGAATCTGTAACAAAATTACATCAAAACATTAAATATGTTTTAATGCAGAGCATATACTCTCTCAATTCACACATTTCAGAAAGTTTCATAAGAACATCATATATGTTATTTTCCTAACCCTGCTTTATGAAGATGTTTATCGGTACAGCCAGTAATCAAAGATGGAAGCAACATGAGTTAATTAAACTTACTCTGGAAACACTATAACCCAAGCCAGCAGGAAACCTGCAGAAATATTGTGGATGATAAATATCTTATCCAACAGTGACTGCAAAGTAAGACCACTAATTTTTATGTTGCCTGATTTCACTGTTTAAATTATACGAAAATAATCATACAATTTTTCAGCACTTACATATTCTAAGTTCATCAGTATATTCTAAATTAATCTTGTTTACTTTCCAGTCTCTTCAGACCTATTCCATAAAAAACATCTGCTATTCTCACGTACATGGCATCTTACTCTGACAGAAGTTATAAAGACAAAGAATGCTGGCCTGTAAAAAAGCCCCTGTTCAAATATTTTCCATGTATTTTTAAAAAAAATAATACATCTGCCTTATTTATCTCATACAAACATTGAAATAAGGATTTTATGAGGTCTTGGGTATGCAAATAATTCAAGAGTAAACAATTCAAAAAGAAAAAAATAATTTCAAATGAAGACAACAGTAAGATAATAAGTATCTGTACAATAATACTTTGATAAGGAAAAAGACTGAAGAAAGATAGTAGGAATAAGACAGTAAGCAGCACACACCAGGAAAAGACAGACTTCATGTCCAATCCTTTATGATTCAGGGAAAATGTTCAAGGTATGGGCCATGATGTCTAGGCACAGAGCTTAAACTGTAACAATTCAAATGGATTGCACTGAAGAGTAAAAATCAGATCATTTTAGAACCACACAATGGAAAAAACTCAGAATAACTTTTGCAGTAGTTTGGTGAAGGTTGGCTTTGGATGGGTTTGTTTCTTTGATGTTATTGTTAGTTGTTATTTTAAAATGTGATTTTTTTTTTTTCCAAGAAGCACAGAAATGTGTATCTGAAGATGGATTTCAGGTGTTCAAAGTACAGAAAGAAGTTTCCATCACAGAATCATAGAATCTTAAGGTTGGAAAAGATCTCTAAGATAATCAAATCCAACCATCAACCCAACACCACCATGTCTACTAAACCATGTCCTGAAGTGCCACGTCTACATGCTTTTTAAACACCTCCAGGGATTGTGACTCCACCACCTCTCTGGGCTGCCTGTTCCAATGCCTGACCACTCTTTTGGTGAACAATTTTTTTCCTAATATCCAAACTAAACCTCCCCT